CCCCCCCCCCGCTCCTGCCCTGCAGCATCCCCGCAGCCCCCTCCCGGAGCCCCCACGCCGCTCCCGGCCCCACGGGGGGGTGTGGGTGGGTGAGGAGGGTTCCACGCGCGGGGACTCACCGTGCGCCGCGATGTCCGCCGGAGCGCGACGGGGGAGCATGACCGGGGGGGGAAACGGCACCGGCGGTGATTCCGGGGGGGGATGCGGCACCGGCGGGGGGGGGGAGCAGCGGCACCGGTACCGCGGAGGTTCCCGGGGGTGAACGGCCCCGGGGGCTCCGCCCGCACCGGCACCGGCTCCGGCTCCGCGGCAGGGGCGGGGCGGGGGGCGGGGAGCGGGGGGGGGGGCCTTATCTCGCCGCCCCACCCTCCGCACCCAGCGCACCCCGCGGGAGGGGGCACCCCCATGGGGCACCTGGGGCGGGAAGGGTTAACCCTGACCAGCGCACCCGGCATCGGGGGTAACCCCGGCCAGTGCTCCCAGTACAGCCGGTATGGAAAGGGCTAACCTCGACCAGTGCTCCCAGTACAGCCAGTATGGAAAGGGCTAACCCTGACCAGTGCTCCCAGTACAGCCAGCAACAGGGGCCGATCCTGACCAGTGCTCCCAGTACAGTCAGCACCAGGGGTAACCCTGACCGGTGTTCCCAGCACAGCCAGCAACAGGGGCCGATCCTGACCAGTGCTCCCATTACACCCAGGATGGCACGGGTTAGCTGTGACCAGTGCACCCAATACAGAGAGGGTTAACTGTGACCAGTACACCCAGTATGGAGAGGGTTAACCATCACCACTGCAACCACTGAGAGAGGGTGAACCCCACCCAGTGTTCCCAGCAAAGCTGGTCCCATCCCACGCTCCCACAAGGGGGTCCCACAGCCCCTTGGCACTCCTGGCACTCCTGGTGCTCCCGGCACTGCTCAGGGACGCCCAGGACATCCCACTCAAGAGGCATCGCAGGGGGACCAGCTCCAGCCCCCCACCAGCTCCATCTGGGCACACAAGTGTGTGCACGTCACCAGCACATCACCAGGACACTGCAGGCACACCAATGGCACACCACTGGGACACCACGGGCACGTCAGTGGCACATCACTGGCACACCAGCCTGGGCAGCATCACGTTTGCACGTGGGACAGGCCACCTCCAGCTGCTGCAACCAGAGCCCCAGCAGAGCCCCTGTGGCACAGGGAAGAGACAGGAGCCCTGGAATGGGCCTGGCACGGCTCTGGCAGGGCCCTGGCACGGCTCGGGTATGGCTCCAGCATGGTGCTCACAACCTTGCTGGCCACTGGCCTTTTCCCTGGCCACAAGACAAAGCTCGGCTCCAGCCACTGGTGCTGTAGGGGGGACCTGGCCTGGCAGCTGGGGAGGTCTTGGGAGCCAGGGGGACCCTGGGTGGATGGGGAGCTGGGAACAGGGTGCTGGAAACCAGTGTCAGGAGCCAGAGCCGGTGCCTTGATCCAGAGTGCTGGGAACTGGAGCTGGAGTTGGGAACTGGTGCTGGGAACTAGAGCCAGTGCTGGGAAATGGAGCTGATGCCTTGAACCAGAACCTACGCCGTGAACCAAAGCCTCTGCTTGTAGCCAGCGACAGGGACTGGAGCTGGTGCCGGGAACCAAAGCTGGTGCTGAGAACCAGAGGTGGTACCAGGAGCTGGAGCCAGTACCAGGAACCAGACCCAGTGTTGGGAGCCAGAGCTGCTCTGGGAACTGGGGCCGGTGCCGAGAACCAGAGCTGGTGCTGCCCGCTGGCCCCAGCCCTGTGGTGCCCAGGAGCCCTGTGGTGCCCAGGAGCCCTGTGGTGCCCAGGAGCCCTGCAGTGCCACAGGACAGAGTCAGCAGCACGGATGGGTGTGGGTGCCCAGGCAGACTCTCCTGCGGGTACACACCTGTGCAAACATCCCTGCACCAACCTGCGTGTGTGCACAGCCACTCACACACACCTCGAATGTGCACACGCCCATCTGCCCCACCCACGGTACACACAATCATGCACACGCATGAATGCACATATGTGTGTGTGCACACACGTCTCCCCAAAGGTGTGTGCGGCCCCTCGCTGCCCGTGCACTCACGGGTGTGAACACGGGTGAACAAGCACGTGCCCAGCCCTGCCCGCCTGTGGGCACACATGGCACACACCGGCACACACACGGCAGTGTGCACACGCACGGGAACACACGTGCACGCACACACACACGCACACGCACATGTATGTGCTGGGGGGCTCGGGGGCTTCCGATGCCTCCCGGTGCCTCCCGGTGCCTCCCGGTGCCTCCCAGTGCCTCCCGGTGCCTCCCTCCATGGAGGGCATCGCACGGTACAGCCGCCCCAGCCCCGCCGGGAGCCACATCGGGGGCAGCGCCTGCCAAAGGGCCCCGGCGCAGCCGCACCCACCGAGGACCCCAGACTGGGGTGGCCTGAAGACCCCCAGGGACCCCAGACCGAGTCTGGGGTGCCGAGGTCAGGCTCCCCTCCCAGCTCGACGGGACCCCAGCTCAGCTCCCCCCAACCCGCTCTCGCCGCGGCCGTACCGGGGCTGCCGCTCTCTCCGTCCGTCCGAATCCGGTGCTGGCGCAGCCGCTCTCGCCGCGGTCATGTGCCGGTGCAGGCACGGGCGCAGGGAGCGGATCCCCCGGCCAGAGCCGGACAAAGGGCCCCTTTCAGTCCCGCTGGGCCCCGCGGGCCCCTCGGCGCCAAGGGACAAAGGTCCGGCACGCTTGGCACCGGCAGCGCCGGGCGCTCCCCGCCCGGGTCACCCGCGGGGCGGGGGGCACCGGGCCCTACCGGGGGGGTGGGTGCGTGGCCGGGACCCCCCTTCTGCGCTCCCCGTCCCTCTCACCTCTGCGCGCCGGCGGCTCCCCCCGGGAGCGGGGCTCGGCGCCACGTGCGCGGGGCTGGCACGGCTGGCACGGTGCCCCCGGGGGATCCCGGGGCTGGCACACGTCAGCGGGGCTGGCACACGCCGGCGCGCACGCTGCCCCGGAGCCGCCCGTGCCCGCGGGGCCGGGGCCGCCGGTGCCACACTCGTGCCCACCCCGTGTGGGCTCCCCAAAGGAGGGGCACGGGTGCCACCGAGACCCCCCGGTCCTGCAGTTGCCCACCCGTGACCTGGGGCAAAACAGGCACGTGGGGATGCCTGCAGGAGCTGTGTCCCCCATAACCCCCCCATTGCCCCCTTGAGGGTCCCATTCGATGGGCACATTTGCAGGGTGGGCACCCGGGTATCCCCCAGCATAGCTCAGGGCTGGGCTGTGGGACGGAGGAGCAGGCAGGGAGCAGGATGCAGGCAGCGAGTGGGGAGCAGGCAGAAGGCAGGGAAGAGGCAGGATGCAGGAAGGGAGCAGGCAGGATGCTGGGAGCAGGAAGCAGGCAGGGATGCAGGAGGCACCGGGGTGGCCCAGAGTCACCGCCTGGCCCAGCCACCCCATGGGGGGGACACAGAATCCCCACACAGCCCCAATTCCTGGTGCTCCCAGCTGAGACTGGGACCCCACTCACTCCAATCCCAGTGCTCCTAGTTGGGATCGATAACCTCCCCCAGCCCAGTGCTCCCAGCCAGGACTGGGACCCCCACACACAGTCTCCTCTCAATCCCAGCTACGTAAAATTTATTCCCACTTTTATTTGCAGTTTTATTCCCAATTTCACTGGCGTCACACTGGTGATCCCAAGTCCTCCTGTCGGGCTCCTGCCCTGGCATAAGGGCACCCAGGAATGTGCCCAGGTGGAGACCCCCCCACTCCGAGTCTCCTGAGCAGGGCAGGAACCCCCCTGCACCCTGAGCCCCCACGGCAGCGACTCCTCAAGCACCTGGGGTGGGGGTGGACACTGTAACCCCTGTGGTGGCCCTGGTGCCAGGGGGCTCTGGAGGGTCAAGGGGGGACCACATGGCTGAGCTGGAGCCGGGCAGCTCAGGAGGTACCCCCTTGGCAGAGCCACTGCCAGGGGGCTCGAGGGGTGCTCCCACTGCGAGGACAGTGCCAGGAGGGTCAAAGGGGGCCCCTGTGGCAGAGCTGGTGTCGGGGGGGCTCAAGAGGTGCCCCCACAGCAGAGACAGTGCCGGGGGGCTCAGAGGGGTCAAAAAGGGCCCCTCTGGCAGAGCCGGGGTGCTCAGGGGGTGCCCCCACGGCAAGGACAGTACTGGGGGGGCTCAGGGAGGTCAGAGAGGGTCCCTGCGGCGGCAGGTGATCAGGTACTGGGGGTAGGCCTGGGTGTCGTTGAAGATGACGAAGATGTCGGGCTGCCGGGGGTCGTCCACGACGCTGTGGTAGCGCTGGGGGCCCTCGGCCCCCTCCCGCAGGGGGGGTGCCCGCAGGCCCCGCCGCCCGGCCGCGAACATCCCGGTCAGCACCTTGGCCACGAAGACGAACTTGGTGCCGTCGGCGCTGGGCGGCGAGTACTGGTCCCGCGCCGAGACGGCCGCGCGCGCCGCGAAGTACACGCCGCGGCCGTACAGGGTGGCTGCGGGGACGGGGCTCAGCCTGGGGGGCACCGGGGCCGGGCCCCGGCAGTGCCGGGCAGGGAGCGGCACCCCCCGGTTCAGCACCGGTGGCACCGTGCCCGCTTCGGCCCTGCATTCCAATTCCCGTGCCGGTGGCACCGCGCCCCCACGGTCACCCCGTTCCCGCGCCAGTGGCACCGTGCCCGCCTCGGCACTCTGTTCCCATGCCAGTGGCACCGTGCCCCCATTGTCGCCCTGTTTTCATGCTGTGTCCCATTCCCACACCGATGTCACCACACCTGGATCAGCGCTCCATTCCCGTGCCAATGGTGCCTGTGCCCTGTTCCCATGCCGTCAGCACCATGCCCACACTGGCACTCTGTTCTCATGCCAACGGCACTGTGCCCCCCTTGGCGCCCTGTTCTCATGCTGATGGCACCGTTTCCAACTTGGTGCCCCGTTCCCATGCCGACACCACCACAGCCACATCAGCATCCCGTTCCCATGCTGATGGTCCCCTTTGGCGCCCTGTTCCCACGCCAAGGGCACTGTGCCCACATCGTCATCCCCCACCTGCCCGGCACTCACCGTTCTTGCCGCAGAAGCTGCGGTTGAAGCCGTGCAGGCAGATCTCACGGCTGGAGGCCTTGGTGGTGCCGTGGAAGAGGACGCGCTCCGCGGCGGTGCCGGCGGCACACGCCCGCTCCACGCTGCCCTTCTTCAGCTGGTACTGCTTGTATAGCAGCGGGTGGATCAGCTTCTGCACCTGCCGGGCACCCACCGCAGCGTCATTGCCCTGCCACGGGGGCACCCCCAGGGGCCCGGTGCCCCCAGACCCACCTGCACGATGCTGATCCGGCTGTGCAGCTCCTCCAGCGTCCCGTAGAAATGGTGAACGGTGTCGGTGAACTCCTCCGAGTCCTCGGCCAGTGGCATCAGCCGCACCTCCTCCTCCAGCCCTGGCACCTCCGGCCCTGCTGGGCACAGCCACGGTGAGCACGGGCGCAGCACAGGACAGGGCCGGCCCTGCAGCACCAGCACGTACCGAGCAGGCAGCGGGCACTCTCGGCCGGGGGCTGGCTGCGGCAGATCGGCACGGCGCGGGCGCTGCCGATGTCGTACTCCTCCATGCGCTCCAAGTCCACGGTGAAGGGCCGCCCGTCCAGCACCAGGTCCACCCGGCGCTCCCGGCGCAGCCAGGCCTGCTCCAGCAGCGCCGCTTCCTCAGGGGCGTAGGGGACCACGGTGCCGGAGGGGTCCCAGCGCACCCAGTGTGCGGCAGCGGTGACAGCGGTGGCACCGAGCTCCGGCAGCGTCCGGCGCTGCAGCAGCGCGGCGAGATCGCGGGCGGCGGGGGCCGTGTACCGGGCGAAGCCGTGCAGGGTGGCGGTGCCGCCGCTCAGGCTGAGGTGCACGGCGTGCCGGCGCTGCAGCAGGGCCAGCACGCGGTGGCCGGCGGCCGGCAGCGCCCGCAGCCGCTCGCTCTCCACCTCCCGCGCCAGCAGCCGCCCCGCCAGCGCCCGCTCCAGCTCCCGCCGCACCTCCGAGGCGTCCCGCTCGAAGGAGCAGAACACCGTCGCCCGCGCCGTGTCCGCCGCCGCCAGCGCCTCCTCCAGCGAGGCCTCCAGCGCGGCCAGCAGCACGGCGTCCTCCTCCGCCTGCTCCCGCTCCCGGCAGTAGGAGCGCAGGGAGAGGGCGGTGGCGCGCGCCAGCTCCTCGTCCTCACGCCTCGTGTTTTCCATGGAATACTGGATGGCCAGAGCCATCTGCGCCTCCTCCTCCTCCTCCTCCTCCCCAGTGCCCAGCAGCGGCTCCCCGGCACCCTTCCCATCGGCCGTGGCGGGGAGCTCAGCATCAGGGTCCCACTCGGTGCCGAGGACGGCGTCAGGCCACACCTTGGGGTCCCCCTGGTCGTCGGCCTCGCCGGGGCGCAGCGCTGCCAGCAGCTCCCTGATCTCCTCTGTGGGAGCAGCAGGACGTCAACCATGAGACCCCACCACGGCCTGGGCAAGAACCAGCATCCACGGCCCCCGAGCCCCACCATGGCGCCGAGAGAGTCCCTCACCTATGCTGGAGTGAAAGCCATCTCTGTCACCATCATCATCAGCAGCAGCATCATCATCGCCCTCGGGCAGGTCCCGGTGCCAGGGGTGTGGCGCTGAGGGCTGGGGGTCCCAGTGGCGGCTCAGGGGCAGCAGCTCCTCCAGCTCCTGCTTTGGGGACCGAGGGACGGCGTCACCGGCGCTGCTCTGGCACAGCAGGGACCGGCACGACGGCACCCGCCTGCCAGCCCCCTCCCCACGAGGCCGCACCTGCGGGTCTGGGGGTCTCCAGGGGACGCCGTCCAGGTGGATGACACACTGGAAGCGGTTCTCCAGCTGCTGGAGGAGGCTCTGCCCGTCCAGGTCCCGCAGGAAGCGGGCGACGCCGGGGAAGTGCAGCGCCACGGGGTGCGAGGCCACGGAGCCCAGCAGGCTCTGGAGGAAATCCGCTGCTGCCTGGCACCGGCCCAGCTCCCCACTCACCTGTCGGGAGGGGATCAGAAGGGGGTGGGGGTGTCAGCACCTGGGCACTGGCACCTGGCTGGCTCCCCACCCACCAGCCAGCAGTGCAGGCAGTACAGTTATCACCACGGGGCCAGCAGCCACTGCCAGAATGTGCCACGAGCACGGGGAGGTGGGAGCACAGCACAGGGCCCTGCCCACGCCACACCCGCACCCCTGCCCACACTTGCCCATACCCCTGTCCAGATCCCTGCTCGCAGCTCACCCGGAACCCAGCGACGTCCCCTCCCTCCAGAGGCAGCAGGGACACCTCAGGGATGCTGCCCAGCAGGTCCTGGTAGTGCCGCTGCAGGTACTGCAGTGCTCCCGGCTCCGCTGGCACCAGCACCTCATCCTGCACCAACACCGACTCTGGGGCCACCACTGACACCCGCTCCAGGCACTGGCCCTGGTTGGTCACGGCCTCGAGCCCCTCTGTGTCCTTGTCCCCGCTGGGGAAGGCGGCCGATGGCTGCGCTGGCACTGGATGTGATGCCCGCGGCTCCTCCGGTGCCGCCAGCTCTGGGACTGCGGGGGCCGTGTCCGGTGCAGGGGCTGTGTCCGGCAGGGAATCCGTGTCCACTAGAGGGGCTGTGTCCAGAGGGGGGGCTGCGTCCAGGGGGTGGGGGGCCACGTCCAGGCGAGGGTCTCTGTCCCCCTCCAGCGGCTCCAGGAAGGGGTAATGGGGGGTGAGCTCCAGCACCGCATCCTGCAGCCGGTGCGGCCTCTGCAGCACCCGCTCCGCGGCTGCAGGGGGACGGACAGATCAGGACGGACAGATGGTCCAGCCAGGCCCCCTGTCTCCCCTGGCACCAGCATGGGGGGGGTCCCTGCCGGCTCACCTGCCGGCTCCTGGAAGGTGACGATGGCCCCGCGCCCGCCCGGCAGCAGCCGCACCTCCCGCACGGAGCCGCCGCCGCTGCGCCGGTTCTCGAAGTAGAGCTCAAGCAGGTCCCGGCTCGGCGCCGGCCCCGCCGCCCGCACCAGCACCGCGGGGGTCTGTGGCACCCGCAGCAGCGCCAGCCCCCGGCGCTGCGCCCGCTGCTCCGCCGACGCCAGCTCTGCGTGCGGCACGGGCGGCGCTGGCACCAGGGGACCCCACGGTGCTGCCACCGCCCCCACGGCAGCATCCGGGTGCCCCCCGCAGACCCCACACCCTAAAATACCACCCCGGTGCTCTCAGATCCCCAGCCCGTCGCCCTCCCCTGCCTGCCAGTACTCCCACCCCGTTGCATCCCCACCCTCCTGGCATCCCCACCCTGTTGCCCCCCACCCTCTGGCAACCCCCCCCTGTCACCTTGGCCCTCCGTGCCCCCACCCCCGGCATGCCCACCCCATTACCCCCCCCCCCCATGGTCCCCGGCCCCCCCCGGGGGGGTGAGGGGGTCCCGCAGGTGCAGCAGCCCCCAGTCGGGTGCGGGGCCCCGGCACAGGGTGACGGCGTCGGGGGAGACCCCCAGCAGGGTCTCCAGGAGGAGGTCCAGGTGCTCGGGAGGGGTCCTGGGGTCGAGGCCACGCAGCAGCAGGCGGGTGGGGTCCCAGGGGGGGGCCGGGCACACCCCCAGCTCGGCCCCCCCCAGCTGGTGGCTGCCATGGGTCAGCACGTTCTCTGCATCTGGGAGGGAACGGGGGGGTCACTGGGGTGGGGGGGCATCCCTGGAGCCCACCCAGCACCCCCCACCTCCCAGAGCCTGGGGACACAGCACTGCTCACCAGTGCTCCCAGTGGGACTGAGACCCCCCCCCAAATCCCATCCCAGTGCCCCCAGTTGGGCTGGGACCACCAAACACAATCCCAGTGCTCCCACTGGGGCTGGGACCCCCAAACACAATCCCAGTGCTCCCAGCGGGGCTGAAATCCCCCACACCCCATCTCAGTGCTGCCAGCTGGGACTGGGACTGCCAAACACCCCAATTCCAGTGCTCCCAGCTGGGACTGGGACCCCTCACAGACCCCATCCCAGAGCTCTCAGTTGGGACTGCGAATCCCCCACAGCCCATCCCAGTGCTTCCAATTGGGTCTGGAACCCCCCACCCCATCCCAGTGCTCCCACTTGGAACTGTGACACCCACACGCCCCATCCCAGTGCTCCCAGTTGGGATTGTGACCCCTCACATCCCATCCCAGTGCTCCCAGTTGGTACCGACTCCCCACACCCCATCCGAGCGCTCCCGGTTCGAACCGGGACCCTCCCCACACTTACCCTGGGGGTCCTCGAAGGTGAGGAAGAAGAGGGGCCCGAGGCGCTGGCAGCTCTGCACGGGGCCACCCCCCGAGCGCCGCTGGCTCTCGAAGTACAGGACCAGCAGCTCCTCTGGGGTGTCAGGGGGGACCCCCTGCACCTCCAGCACCCCTCGCGCCATCCTGGGGCACCCACACGTTGGGGGGAGCTCCCCAGTGCCAGCACCCCTGTCTCGGGGCACCCGCACACTGGGGGGACCCCCTGCACCTCCAGCACCCCCCTCCCACCATCCTGGGACACCCTCACACCGGGGGGGTGAGATGGAATCCCCCTTCGGCTCCTCTACCCACCCTGTTCCTGCTCCCCCCCAGCACCGGTGTGACCCCCCCGGACCAAGGACACCCCCCGCACCCACGCGTGACCCCAACCCCTCCCCAAACCCCACATCCGCATCCCCTCCCTGCACCTCCGTACCGAGGACACCCCCAGCCCTGCACCCCCCGGGCGGAGCCCCCCTCATAGCCCCGGACACCCCTCACGGTCTCGGGTGGGACCCCCCAACTCTCCGAGGGCAGGGACCCTCCCCACGCCCCCGGGGCCCCACGCACCGGACCTCGCGCGGCTCCGCCCCGGCAGCGAAACGAAACTGAAACGGGGCGGGAAAGGGGAAGGGGAAGGGCGGGGGGCGGGAACGGGGTGGGGACACGGGGCCGGACCCACGCGGGACGCGGGGACACGTGGCCGTCCCCCGCGCTTGACCAGCGGGCGCGGGACCGGCCCCGCGCGTCATAACGGGACACTGGACTTGTCCGATGCGTGACGGGGGGAACATGGAACCGGCCCCACGCGTGACTGGGGGACACGGGACCGGCCCCGAGTATAACATGGTGACACGTTAGCGGCCCCACGCGTGACCGGGGGACACAAGACCATCCCTCGCGCGACAGGGGGACACGAGACCACCCCCGTGCGTGCCCTGGGAACACGGGAACAGTCCCACGCGGGACAGGGGGATACGGGACCGGCCCCACAGATGACATGGGGACGCAGAACCAGCCCCAGATATTACCAGAGCCGCCCCCACGCGTGACAGAGGACACGTGACCATCACCTGCACGCGACCGCGGGACAGGGAACTGGCCCCAGACGCGACCATGGGGGACAGAACCGGCCCCACGCGTGACACAAGGACACGGAACCGACCCCAGACGGGACCAGGGAACATGGGAACCGCCCCACGGCTGACATGGGCACACGGGACCGTGCCCGAGAGTGACACAGGGATACGTGACCGGCCCCACGGGTCACCGGAGGACACCGGAGCGGCCCCCGCGCGTGACCGGGAGATACGTGACCGACCCCACGCGTGACCGGGTGACACGTGACCGACCCCACGCGTGACCGGGGGACCCCCGACCCTCCCCACGCGTGACCGAGGGACACGTGACGGGCCTCAGGAGTCTCCAGGGGACCCTGGACCGGCCCCACGCGGGACACGGCGGAGCGGGTGACGCGGCTCCACCGCCACAGGGGGGCGCTCTGCCGCCAGGCCCCGCCCCTCCCGCGGGCCACGCCCCCGCTTGCCACGCCCTCCTCCAAGCCCCGCCCCCGGCCTACGCCGGGAGCGGCAGGTCCGGCGCAGCTGCTGCCCCGCCCCCTCCCAGGCCCCGCCCCCTCCCCAGGCCCCGCCCCTCGGCGCGCAGCGAGCGGACCCCGCGCAGCTCGGCCCGGCCGGTGAGCGGGGGGCGCGGGGGGGTCCCGGGGCTCTGCCGGGGGGGTGGGCGGGCGGTGGGAGGGGGCGCGGAGACCCCGGCGCCGCCCCCCGAGCGCGGGTCTCCCCCCCACCGCCCCGCGCTGCCGCATTACGCAGCGCGCGGGTTCCGTGCGGGGAGCGGAGGGAGGGAGGGGGGGGGCCGGGGGGTGGAAGGGGGGGGGGGGGGGGCGCGGCGGGGGGGGGGGAGCGCGGCCGAGGGGGGACCCCGCGGGCGCAGGGGAAGGGTCCCCTGGGAGCCCCCCCTTCCCCCGCGGCAGCGCTCGGGGATTAGGCTTCGCTGCTGCCGTAAATAGGCCGTGCCGGGGCTTTACCGAGCGTCAGGGCAAAGCGGCTTACGGGGCTCCGGGAGAACCGGCGGGGGGGGGCGGCGGCACCCCCGCAACCCGTGATGCGGGAGAGCACCTGCACTCCCGCCCGCCTCCGCCTCCCGCAGCCCGTGCTGCGGGCACCCCTACAAAACCCGCGCTGCGGGCACTCCTGCATCCCCCGTAGCCCCCGCTGCGGGCACCCCTGGAACCCCCTACACCCCGTGCTGCGGGCACCCCCGCACCCCCCGCAATTCCTGCTGCGGGCACCACCGGCGCGCCTCGCAACCCGTGATGCGGGAGCACCCTTGCACACCGTGCCCCCTGCACGCCGTGCCCCGTGATGTAAACACCCCCCTGCACCTCCCCTGTGCTGCGGGCCCCCGCACCCTGTGCCTCCCCCGACACGAGATGCGGACACCCCCGACCCCCCCCCCGCACCGCACTCCCCAT